ATTTATCAATGCAGAGAGTGAGTGATTGATTAACGAGTTGAAGTTTCAGTGAATGAGCCCACCTAAAATATTCAGCACCAAGATTCACGTTCAGACTTTCTTTGAAGAAGCCTCATTAATTCTTAAACTGTAGAAAATATTCTTTCCAAGTGTACCACCCCACTCAACCGTGAGTTACTTTCCTACTTTTTTTTGTTGTGATTAATAATACATGACTCTTAATTATATTCACTGTCACCTTGCACCCAGGTGTTTTTCATAAATAGGATTCTACTTGAAGCACATATGAATTGGGAAATAAAGAGTAATTTGATTACTCTTGCACTGATTAGTGGAGTGGAGTAGATTTTACAATTAATATTGAAATCAGCAATAATACCCTGTGGTTCTATCTCTTAAGTGATTCTTTAACAATTGATATTTGGGTAGATCTTATTTTGCAACATCTTATTCTTGTAGTTTGGAGAGTAAAAGAAAGGAATCATTAGCAAAATCTACTTAAGAATATGTCTCAAGTATTTTTTTTTTAACTCCGAATAACTACAATTAAACGCACAAGGATAATATGTAGTCTTTAGGACCTTAAAATTACATGCTTTCCTTAGATATGAAATTCTCAAATATACACGTTGCTTGATGCAAATAAAGGAGTATCTTTACATGGTTATGGAAAATATAATGTGATGCACTCAGTATGGCGAGGTTAGCGATACAACTTACCTTGAGGGAAAATATTGGGATATAGAGTATTTTCCGGCCACCTTACCCTACATTTTGTTTGTTTTGTTGTTTTACAATATGTTTATAGTAGCCCTTTGAAAATCTGCACGGACTTGCTGAAGTATAGGAAAGCTGTTTATATATGTGAATAACAGAAGGCAAAACCCTAAATATTAATATATAAAATTGTGAAATTGAAGCACATTTTCACGTAGAGTTATGACTTTGGATATCATGAGAACTATATTATAGTTGGCACACAGAATCCTAGTCTGTAAAACGAATGGGGGAGACTTTGTGTGGTCTGAGTTTAATGACATGTTATCAGAAGGTATATGGGAAATCTTGGAAATGGGTACATGTTCATGCCATGACTTTGGAGAATGGATATTAGCCATTGCTGATCAATTTTATGGAGCTCATTAAAGAATATGGAGTGACATGACAATTAATGTGACCAGTTTCTTAAGAGTGAAAGCAAATCTGTCACTGAAGTTGATGGCCAAAGGGTGGAACAGGAGTGCTCCGAAGTGCTGTGCTGATGAAGGGCCCCGAGGCTAAAAGATGTGGAACAGCCATATTTAATATAGCCAACCCATTAATGCTTACAAATGATGCTTGTTGTTAGAAAACAATTTCTGG